ACAGCTAGTGCATAAAAATTTAACTCTCCTGGCCGGGCCTGTAATCCCAGCACTTTGGAAGGCCAAGGCAGATGGATCATCTGAGGTCAAGAGTTTGAGACCAACCTGATCAACATGGTGAAACCCTCTCTCTACTAAAAAAAAATTAGAAAGTTAGCCAGGCATGGTGGCGGGCTCCTGTAATCCCAGCTATTTGGGAGGCTGGGGCAGGAGAATGACTTGAACTGAGGAGGCGGAGGTTGCAGTGAGCCAAGATCACGCCACTGCATTCCAGGCTAGGCAACCAGAGTGAAACTCCTTCGTCTCAAAAAAAAAAAAACCCTTTATTATGTTTCCTCATCTCCGAACCCTCATCCTGTGTGTGGTATCAGTAAGCTTATTTCATAGGCAATCTGTGCTAATACTGTCAATAAAAAACAATTTTAAAAGTTTCTCTTCCAGACAATTTGTGATTTTTAAACAGGACATTTACAAAAACACTGGAGAGATATAAAGTTAGGCATTGGCAATTCTCAAATTTTACCACACAATCAACTACCTAATCTATCTATTTCCAATGTAGGTCCAATTACAATTTAATATAGTTTAAACTAAGTAGTCATACAAACACTAGTGAATATATGTCTGGCTCAGATATGCTTCCTGGCAAATGTCAAGTAAGTGAAATCTAAAGCTGCAATTGAATGGTTTTAACCTAGGTTCCATATGAGTTAAGTCTCCTGATCTTCAACGTAGCGAATGGGCTGGGTACAATGGCTCATGCCTGTAAGCCCAGCACTTTGGGAGGTTAAGGAGTGAAAATCACTTGAGACTAGGAGCTGGAGACCAGTCTGGGCAACACAGAGAGACCTCCATCTCTATTTAAATAATAAAAAAAAAAAAAGTGGAAGGGCACAGTGGCTCACGCCTGTAATCCCAGCACTTTGGGAGGCTGAGGCAGGCAGATCATTAGGTTAGGAGTTCAAGACCAGCCTGGCCAACATGATGAAACCTCGTCTCTACTAAAAATACAAAAATTAGCCAAGCTTGTTCACAGGCACCTGTATCCCAGCTACTTGGGAGGCTGAGGCAGGAGAATCACTTGTACCCGGGAGGCAGAGATGGTGCAGTGAGCTGACACTGTTCCACTACTGCACTCCAGCCTGGGCGAGGGAGACTCCATCTCTCTCTCTCTCACTCACACACACACACACACACACACACACACACACACACGTGGGCTGGGCACTGTGGCTCATGCCTGGAGTCCCAGCACTTTGGGAGGACGAGGCGGGCATATCACCTGAGGTCGGGAGTTTGAAACCAGCATGACCAACATGGTGAAATCCCGTCTCTACTAAAAATACAAAATTAGCCGGGAGTGGTGGCACAAGCCTGTAATCCCAGCTACTCGGGAGGCTGAGGCAGGAGAATTGCTTGAACCCAGGAGGCGGAGGTTGCAGTGAGTCAAGATTGCACACTTGCACTCCAGCCTGGACAACAAGAGTACAACTCTGTCTCAAAAAAAAAAAAAAAATTAGCTGGGTATGATGGCACACATCTGTAGTCCCAGCTACTCAGGAAGCTGAGGCAGGAAAGTCACTCGAACTTGGGAGGTAGAGGTAGCAGTGAGCCGAGATCACGCCATTGCACTCCAGCCTGGGCAACAAGAAGGAAACTCCCTCTAAAAAAAAAAAAGCAGCAAATGACCGACCCCCTGTGTGGCCAATTTACTTAAAATGGTCAGGTATTTTTAACCTACCTTTAACCAAAAAACTACTTAGAGCACACCACAAATGAACTCCTCAGCACAGTTGCTATTTGTGACTTAAAAGTGTCTTTTCTACTTTATGCTTTCACAACTTGGTAAATTACAATGAGATATTGCTTTTTTTAAAATTCTGGCAAACCATTTTATTCATTATCTCATGAATCCAAAGCACAGACCCCTATGACTAGGATAAATTAATACCATTTTGGAGTCAGCTTGGTGGCTCACATCCATCTTCCCAGCACTTTGGGAGGCCAAGGCAGGACTGCTTGCAGCTAGGACTTGCAAACGAGCCTGGGCCACAGAGCGAGACCCCATCTCTACAAAAAAAAGTTAAAAATTAGCCAGGTGTAGTGGCACATGCCTGATGTCCCAGCGACTTGGGAGGCTGAGGCATGAAGAATGCATAGGCCCAAGAGTTCAAGGTTGCACTGTGCTATGATGACACCATTGCACTCCAACCTGGGCCACAAAGAGAGACCTTATCTCAAAAAAAATAAAAATAAATTAATGCCGTTTTACTCAACTGACATTAAAACCTATAGTTGTAAATCTAGAATCTAGTGCATCCTTTGTGAACAATGGGTCCAAGTTTGTTTAACCAGAATTAGATAAGACTCTGTTATATAATAATCTCATGAAAAACCAATTAACCAGAAATCACGAACTTGAGATCAGCTAGATGAATCTGGGAAAGACTTCCCCAATTCTTAATTTCTTAACAGTGGGAAAAGAGTACATTACTAGCTCAAGTTAAATGAACAAGAGACACTATGTAGAATGGAATCTTGTGAAACATACAAACCCTGATATTTGTATGCAATCCTATTTAGACTTTCTATATAGCTACAAGTCTGCAAAAGTTAAGGACTATACCATTTACAGCTTTTACATTCTTTCGACTCTGAGAAAAGCATTAAAAGAGTGCAAGTACTGAATGCATGTAGTACTAAACAATTTGGGAAAACTCTTTTTTTTTTTTTTTTTTTTTGAGACGGAGTTTCGCTGTTGTTACCCAGACTGGAGTGCAATGGCACAATCTCGGCTCACCGCAACCTCCGCCTCCTGGGTTCAAGCAATTCTCCTGCCTCAGTCTCCTGAGTAGCTGGGACTACAGGTGCACACTACCATACCCAGCTAATTTTTGTATTTTTAGTAGAGATGGGGTTTCACCATGTTGACCAGGATGGTCTCGATCTCTTGACCTCGTGATCCACCCGCCTCGGCCTCCCAAAGTGCTGGGATTATAGGCGTGAGCCACCACGCCCGGCCAACGGGAAAACTCTTGAAAACAAAGCCGACAATGCTCACTCAGCGAGCTATACACTAACTTTTATATAAACATTAACGCTAATAACTACCCAAAAAGGTCATTAAAATACAGACAAAGCCTATACTAGACCAATGATTTTAGATCTCTTTAAGTTACACATTTGGCTCCATTTTTAAAATAAATTGGTTCAGCGAGTAGTTAACATGCCTGCACCTCCACTGTTCTATTGGCTCTAGGAAAGTATGAAATTCAACTCAATCCTAAAAAACTCCTTCCATAATAGCTACGTTTTGCCTTGACTTTCTTTATGACCTTGGGTAAAGTCTACCAAATGAAGACTACAATCACGTTTGTGTGTTCCAGTTTATTACTGAAATTAACCATAGTATCTTTCGAGCAATAGTGAAATTCTCTAAATTGGACCTATCCAGAGCTGAAAGTTTGAATTACAAATATCAATTGATATGCAATAAACAGTTCTTAAAATTTAAAATTGATTAGTAAAAACAAAAAAACTACAAAGATCCCAAATTCAACATGATTAAAGAATTCTGAACACACCAACAACCTCCTTATTACTTCTCTTTATGAACTGGTCTGCAATGTAATTTTTAAAAAAAAGCCAACAGAAAAAGCAAAGAAAAACAGTAAAACCAGCTTTAATATGCCATTTTCCTTTTCTAAGAATAACTAATGGACCACAAAACTTGGCAAATAATGGTTAGACAAAATAAAGCAATCCGCAATCTAAAAATTACAGATAAATCCATCATTTCAAGTCACTAATTTGTATACCCACATAAGAAATTAATCTCGGTACTGTGTTACCAGCATTAAAAAGATAAAACCCCGCCTCAGAGGAACATCTACTGAGTACGTTTCATTTCCGGATCTCAGGTAAGTTTACCAGCTTTATATCTAGGTTTCCCTAAGGTACTCTGCTGTTTAACATCATTCACACAACCAGCCACCACTAGGGTGAAAAGTAAATAAACAAGATTTACTTAGGCAATTATTTACCACAGAATTCTGGTCAAGAATGCAAAAGTAAACACCCATACAGGCATATAAAACCCAAAGAAAGCAGGGAATATTAATGATAATAAGATTTACCCTTTAATTGACCACTGTAGAAACCAGAGGCCTTCCACATGGGCTGTTCCTTACTAGCACTCTCGATTTGAAAAAGTAACAATGTCAACTCGACATTTTAACAGTACAAAAGATAAACAGAATTTAGGCAAATCGCTTCTTCCAGATTTTGAAAAGGTGTTTATACGAACTGAGATAGAGCAACGCCCCCCTAAAAGCACCCTACTCCAAAGAATGAAATCCTGAAAACATCAGGTGAGCCAAAAAAGGTTAGAAAAGCTAAAGTTCTAACTTAATTACCCAGAGGTTGGGGACTAGGAACGTGAGATCGGAGTGGGGGTGGGTAGCAGAGTGAAACCTAACCCCAGAAATCACAACGCAGGCCGCAGCCTAGGAGGTGAAGCTGGCGGGAAGCGAGCTCCCTTTCCGTTCCCAGGGGAAAGTCCAGAGAGGAGCGGCTCCCCACAGTGGACGTACGAGGCGCCAAGAGTGCATGCCTACCAAAGCGCCAGAGCCGCTGGAGGACCGGGTTTAGAAGGGGAGGAGATCCCGGCAGACGGCGCTGGAAGAGGAGGAGGACTAAGATTGGGAGTAGCGGCAGCGTCTAGACGAAGGGGATTACCTAACTGTGACGACAGAGAAGTGTCCTCAGGCTCCGGCGATGGTCTCGACTGCGCAATGTGTGGTGTCTTTCCCGCTTACCCCCGTAGCAGCAACAGAACCAGCTCCTTCAGCCAGTCGCCATTTCCCGCCTACCGACCTGCTGCACCGCACGAACAGAGACCCGGATGGAAAGCGGCCTCTCCGCGCAGGCGCCCTGACTTCCTCCTCCCCCTCCCGCCACAATTCCGTGAGGTGGGAGGGAAGGAATGCGGGTGACCACAACGGCAACAACAACCCAAAAAAACACTTTTACTTCCGTGAAGAGCGTTGAAGTTCCTTACGCCGGAGGACACTCTCTAGTATGAATCCCGGAGAAATATTGAACACAAGGCCATAGGACTAGGTAGAGTAAGAAAGGACAAAACCTATTAGGACACGCAAGGGCCTGGGGGATATTTGTACGTTAGGGGCCTCCGTAGCCGGCTGTGTAGTGGTCGCAGGGGGAGCAGGGAGTAAAGCGTTAGGAGTGGAGAGGCGGGGACCCGAAGGGCCGTTTTTCCTCCCGCTATTAACGGAACTGCTGGGGCCGAGCTGGGAGGGGGAGCGCTCCCTTGTCCCGGAGGCGGGGCTTCCGAATGCGACGCGCACCCTGGCAGCTAGGGTTTAGTGACTGTGGGCGCGCCGGGTGGGTGGAGCCGAGGGTATAAGGCGGGACTAACGGCTTGGCGCGCAGGAGGAGATAGTTTGTAGGGAACGTTACCCGAGGCCAGGAGAAAGCGAATCTGGCGCCTTTACTGGGATCTCGGTAGCCCCCGAAGGTTCCCTTTCCATTTCCATTTGTCTAGAGAGCGTAGCAGTAGCTTTTGGATCAGTCATAAATATTCAGGTCCTTCAACTCAACCCCATGTTGGCGGTAATTCTGCACGTTGAAAACTAGGATCTTAGCCGGGCGCGGTGGCTCACGCCTGTAATCCCAGCTCTTTGGGAGGCCCAGGCGGGCGGATCACGAGGTCGGGAGTTTGAGACCAGCCTGGTCAATATGTTGAAACTCCGTTTCTACTAAAAATACAAAATTAAGCAGGGCGTGGTGGCGCATGCCTGTAATCCCAGCTACTCGCTTGAACCCGGGAGGCGTAGGTTGCAGTGAGCCGAGATCATGTCACTGCACTCCAGCCTGGGTGACAAAGCGAGACTGTCTCGAAAAAAAAAAAAAAAAAAAAGGATAAAGAATTTTTAGATGTAAAGCAGTGGCCACAGGAAAAAAAATGTAATAAATGCAAAAACCTAGTAGGAGGTATCTTTGCATGCTTTTTAAGAGGTGGTGTCAAGCTATATTGGCCAGGCGGCCCAGGCTGGACTCAAACTCTTGGGCTCAAGTGATCCTCTCACCTCAGCCTCTTCAGTAGCTGGAACTACAGAAACATGCCATCACAACCAGCTTAAATGCTTTTTAAACTATTAAAAACTACTGCTATATGAAGACACTAATGAAATAGAGTGTTCATTAAGTAATGTAATAGGGTCAGGTTTGGTGGCTCATGCCTGTAATCCCAGCACTTTGGAAGGCTGAGAAGGGCAGATCACCAGAGGTCAGGAGTTGAGACCAGACTGGCCAACATGGTGAAACCTCATTTCTATTAAAAATACAAAATTAGCTGGGTGTCTTGGCATGCACCTGTAATTTCAGCTACTCAGGAGTCTGAGGCAGGAGACTCGCTTGAACCTGGGATGCGGAGGTTGCAGTGGGTGGAGATCATGCCACTGCACTCCAGCCTGGGCAACAGAGAGAAACTCCATCAAAAAAAAAAAAAAAAGGAACGTAGGCGAGGTGGCTTACACCTGTAATCCCAGCACTTTGTGAGGCCAAGGTGGATGGATCATGAGGTGAGGAGTTCGAGACAAGCTTGACCAACATGGTGAAACCCCGTCTCTACTAAAGAAATAAAAAATAGACGGGCATGCTGACAAGTACCTATAGTCCCAGATACTCGGGAGGCTGAGGTAGAATAATAGTTCGAACCCAGGACTCGGAGGTTGCAGTGAGCGGAGATCACACCACTGCAGCCTGGGCGACAGAGAGAGACTGTCTCAAAAAAAATTTAATAATAAAAAAATAAGTATCAGAACTGTTATTTTGCTCTACTGTTGCAATTACTTGATAGCAGTGGTCATCTGAAAATATGTTCAAAACTAAACTTTTAATTTTCTCTCAAATCTGCACCTCTTTAAGTATTCTCTACTGAATGCAGTTTTTATTTGTCACACCCAATGGCCAATTTTAAAGTACAATAAACTTTCAAAATACATTCTGAATCTAAACACTTCTCATCACCTCAACTGCTTCCCTAGTTGAAGAACCATCGTCTTTAACTTGGAATGCTGTAACAGCCTTTAAAGTCTTCCAGTTTCACTCTGGAACCCCTTCAATATTTTCAACACAGCAGCCAGTTTTGTTTTCGTTTTCGTTTTGAAATAGAATCTTGCTCTGTAGTCCAGGCTGGAGTGCAGTAGCACAATCTCGGCTCATTGCAACCTCCACCTCCTGGGTTCAAGCGATTCACCTGCTTCAGCCTCTCAAGTAGCTGGGATTACAGGTGTGCACCACCACACCCGACTAATTTTTGTTTTTTTTGTTTTTGAGACGGAATTTCACTCTTGTTACCCAGGCTGGAGTACAATGGCACGATCTCAGCTCACTGCAACCGCAACCTCCACCTCCTAGGTTCAAGCAATTCTCCTGCCTTAGTCTCCCAAGTAGCTGGGACTACAGGCACACGCCACCAAGCCCAGCTAATTTTTTATATTTTTAGTAGAGACGGGGTTTTACCATGTTAACCAGGATGGTCTTGATCTCTTGACCTCATGATCCACCCTCCTCGGCCTCCCAAAGTGCTGGGATTACAGGCTTGAGCCACCGCGCCCGGCGTGTATTTTTTTTTTAAGTGGAGTCTTGCTCTCGTCGCCTAGGCTGGAGTGCAATGCAGAGATTTTGCACTGCAGCCTCCACCTCCTGGGTTCAAGATTCTCTTGTCAGTCTCCTGAGTAGATGGGATTACAGGCGCCTGCCACCACACCTAGCTAATTTTTGTTTTTGTTTTTTCTTCAGATGGAGTCTCACATGGTCGCCCAGGCTGTAGTGCAGTGGCGCGATCTCAGCTCACTGCAGTCTCTGCCTCCTGGGTTCAAGCAATTCTCTTGCCTCAGCCTCCCAAGTAGCTGGGACTACAGGTGTGCGCCACCACACCCAGCTAATTTTTTTGTATTGTTGGTGGAGACGGGGTTTCACCATGTTGGCCAGGCTGGTCTTGAATTCCTGACCTCAGGTGACACCTGCCTCAGCCTCCCAAAGTGCTGAGATTACATGTGTGAGCCCCCACTCCCGGCCGAATTTTTGTATTTTTTAGTAGAGTCAGGTTTCGTTATGTTGGCCAGCTTGGTCTCAAACTCCTGGCCTCAAGTGAGCTGCCCACCTCAGCCTCCCAAAGTGCTGGGATTACAAGAATGAGCCACCCATGCCTGACCAGCCAATTATCATTTAAAAAAAAAAATTGGCCGGGCATGGCCTCCACCTCTAGTGAAACTACAAAAATTACCCAGGCAAAGTGGTAGGCGCCTGTAATCCCAGATACTCAGGAGGCTGAGGCAGGAGAGTCACCAGAACCCAGGAGGCAGATGTTGCAGTGAACCGAGATCATGCCATTGCACTCCAGCCTGGCCTACAGAGCAAGTCTTTGTCTCAAACAAACAAAAAATTTTTTTGGCAAATTTTCCATCACTCTTAAACCTAAACTCTTCACTATGACATGGAGGTCCCTTTATTAGCTATCTCTTTTTCAGTGACCACTTTCCTGACTTCTTGCTCTGTATTCTGCAGTCATACTGGCCTACTAACTGTTCTTTGAAAAAATGCATTCCTCCGTCAAAGGCTCTAGACTTGTTGTTTTCTCTGCCTCCATTTGCCAAGTGTGATTAAGGAACTTCATTTTCAATTCCATTTTAATTAAATTTAAAAATACTTTACTGCTTAATGGGTACAGGGTTCCCATTAAGGGGAAGGTTGAAATGTTTGGGTACCTGAAAATTCTGGAACTAGATCGCTGTGATGGTTGTGCAACATGGTGAGTGTATTTAATGGCAGTGAATGGTATGCTTTAAATATAAATGTGTATCAGTAAATTTTATGTATATCAAAAATTGCTACTTGGTATTTACCCAAATGAGTTGAGAACAGGTCCACACAAAAACCTACACTCCAATGTTTATAGCAGCTTTTTTCATAATTATCAAAACTTGGAGGAACCAAAATGTCCTTTATTAAGTTAATAGATAAATAAACTGGTGCATTCATACAATGGAATATTATTTAGCTAAAAAGATATGAGGTATCAACCCATGAAAAGACATGGGGGAATATTAAGTGTATATTACAAACTGAAAAAACCCAATCTGAAAAGGCTATATATTGTATGATTCCTACTATATGACATTCTGGAAAAGACAAAACTATAGAGATAGTAAAAAAAAAAAAAAAAACCTCGGTGGTCAGGGATTTATGGATCACAAAGGAGGAATAGATGAAGCACAGGGGATTTTTAGGGCAATGAAAATATTCTACATGATACTAGAATGGTGGATACATATCATTATACATTTGTCCAAACCTAGAGAATGTAATTCAAAGAATGAATCCTCCTGGGAACCATGGACTTTGGTTAATCATGATGTATCAATGTTGGCTCATCGGCTGTAATGTTCTACACTAGTTCAGAATGTTGATGGTACTTAAGGGGTGTGTGTGTGTGTGTGTGTGTGTGTGTGAAGGCAGGGTATGTGGAAACTCTTATTTTCTACTCTTTTTTTTTTTTTTTTGAGATGGAGTTTTGCTCTTGTTGTCCAGGCTGGAGTGCAATGGTACGATCTCGGCTCACTGCAACTTCCGCCTCTCAGGTTCAAGCAGTTCTCCTGCCTCAGCCTCCCGAGTTGCTGGGACTACAGGCATGTAGCACCACACCTGGTTAATTTTGTATTTTTAGTAGAGACAGGGTTTCTCCATGTTTATCAGGCTGGTCTTGAACTCCCAACCTCAGGTGATCTGCCCACCTTGGCCTCCCAAAGTGCTGGGATTACAGGCATGAGCCACCATGCCCGGACATCTGCTCAATTTTACTTTGAACCTAGAACTGCCCTAAAAACTAGTCTTTTTTTTTTTTTTCCGAGACGGAGTTTCGCTCTTGTTACCCAGGCTGGAGTGCAATGGCGCGATCTCAGCTCACCGCAACCTCCACCTCCTGGGTTCAGGCAATTCTCCTGCCTCAGCCTCCTGAGTAGCTGGGATTACAGGCACGCATTACCGTGCCCAGCTAATTTTTTGTATTTTTAGTAGAGACGGGGTTTCACCATGTT